ATTAGCAAGGAGTCTTTTGCGTTGCACCGTGACTTTGTGATGAACTTGCAGTGAAGGAAGTGTTTTGGGGTCGATTCGTATTCTGTAGTAGAGAGAGAAAGAGAAAGACGAGATTGGACAAGAGAAAGAGAGAGTCCGATGAAGATCGTAGGAGTTTTGGTTGTGTTGGTATTTTTTTCTTGATTATTTTGGAGGAGTATTGATTATGTTGGGATTTTTCTTGATTATGTTGGAGTAGTATTGGTTGTGTTGGAATTTTTCTTGATTGTCTTGGAGGAGTTTTTCTTGTTTTGGAGATGGTGGTAACGGTGAGGGTAATATTAATNGTGACCGATTGACGAGCTGAAGCACGCCCCCGATGAATTCACAATACGTTTTACAACACGTTTTCCTACACGTCCCTACCCTACCACGGCCCGTCATGGCCCAGCTGCTCTACACTCCCAACACAAAGAACTGAGCCACCGAATTATCGATGAACTCCCTCGAGTTTCATGACCTGCAGGGTGGATGTACAGGCGAGTGCACCGTCAAACAGCAGCTTCGGGGAGCCCGACAAACTGATCCAAAGCACACAAAGAACATTATGTCGGGTGTTGGGTGCACCACCACACTGAGAACACCGCGAAAGGCATCTACGCGAGACGCGGTATGAGTCGGGTGATCGATCTACGCGCAGTCAACCAATGCCCACTGGTATTGGTGGGTACAGCAAATAGCACCCACCGATGGAGCTCAGAACGTACAGCAGTCCTGTCCGAAAACCGCTCCAGGCTCCTTCATACCTGCTCCATGAAACAGCCCGGAGTTCCGTGTGTGTGGTAGTGGCCTTCCGTAGTCGAATGCGAAGCGCAGGCATCGAAGGTGTTGTACTCAGCGGCCATTGCCGTGGAATCCCAGTCCGTGACCGGAGTGCCCGCGAATGCGCTGCTTTCGTTTTCCAGCAAATGGCAAACGGAGACAAGGAGGGAAAAAAGGAGAAACTGATGGTTCGTTGTGGTGCCAATTCAATGCCAAGCTTTCAAGACCTGACAGCAATGCGATTTGTCTCCAGGAAGTTGTTCAGGCGTTGTTCGTACCGTGTACACTAATTATGTCCATCGGCCTCAACTGGACGAGGCTTGCGTGTGGTTGTCAGCAAGAACGCCTGCAATCGGAACCGATTGGATTTTCGGTCCCTGCGGTATCGATCACATTGATGCATAGTTGTTATCTGATGACGCCCAATCTTCGGTCGGCCTACGGTACTGCTCGTTGCAACCATATACGAAGCGATTTCGTGAGACACGTCTATTCTTTTTTCCGAGAGGCACCGCACGTGCAATTGAAAAAGACAACGCCGGGGATCCATCCGGAGTAGAGCGGATCCCACGCGTGTGGTGTGGGCATCGTTTTACGCAGAAAGAACGGCAATAAACGTCCTGCACGAAGTGCATCGACAGGCTCACCGGCTGTGCACGCATTCCCCGGGGGGTGTGGAAGCCATGCCCGGCTTCACCCACTCTAACACGGCAAAACACATCCATTCCTCCATGGTGCATCCATCCATCTGGAACGCACTTCGCTACAATGGACGCGAACCGAGGAAAAAACCTTCTTGCCGAAAAAAATAAACATTACACACCGAAGAAGCCAGAAGCAGGAAATCAGCTATGTACCTGCACATGGGAACACCGTCGACTAGGATGCCGATCAGTCCGATGGTCTCGCTCAGATCGGTCGAGTAGCCGTCCGCGAAAAGCTGGGGGTAGGCTGGTGTGCTCTGGTTGACTGCGTAGATCTGCGCGGAGCCAGAGGGGGGAAACGACGCGCACGCAAGGGATGGATATTCGAAAGGGTCGGGCGGGGGTCGGGGCCACGCCTTCGTTGTCATGACGGCAAGTCTCTCCACTCCACCCACGTACTTGAGATTGACTGTATACCCCAACGGTACAGAATCAGCAAGAACAATAGAAGCGGAGGAGAGTGAAAGCGGTGCAAATATTATGAAGGAGGGTCTTACCCGTACCGGGACGTGGAGGTCCAGGCCCTTGTCGACGCCGTAGTTCACGCGGTTGGCGCACGAGGTGTTGGTGAAAACCTGTTCTACCATATCGTCCCCCGAGCCACTGACAATGGATAGTGCTAAAGAAGAGTCACGCGCCATAGGTTGTCTGTGTGAAAGAACTCATCGTCTTCGCGTAATTTCATGCACAGCTGCTCGGATCGGCGTTCGCCCAACTGATCGTTCCACAAGACAATCGACACCGACGCAATCTCCTGGTGATTCCGCCTGTCGTCGCCTAGCCAACTCGCGTGCGGCGCAGCTCGTTCACCTGCTTCTCGCAAACTGCTGTTCTATGGCTATGTAGCGTGACCTTCGAGGGTGATATAATGCCTGTTTTCATCGGCTTAGCTGCACCCATTGTGCTGGGGTATTATCGGGCGTACGATCTGGCGCTAGACGCACCGGCACTGCTGGTTTTGTTGCCCTTGCGCCAGACTACCCGCACTGTCAGGGGCCTACTTCTGATCCCGTGCGGCATTGCGCGATGCACTTGGTACACTTATGGAAAGCTTTTACCCATTCGGGCTACAGTAGCACCGGCAAAAATACTAAAAGCGCCGTCGTAAAAAAAGCCTGAAGGAGCGGGTATATCGCGTTGTTTGAAGCTTTCAACATTGCCGGGAGCAACCGGATTCTCGTAGAGGCGATTTAGTGTCGTATTGTTAGTGAGAACAACTTTTTCATCTACCCGGCCACATTTCGCACGGTGAGATTTCGACCTCTCAACGACGACTCGCATCCAACGGGATATGGAAACGAGTGGGGTGGGCATCCAACGACCTCACAAGCAGTCGTTAGCCACAAACACCCGCCGCTCACATAGTCCGCATCATATCCTGCTTGGTTGCACATTTCCGGCAATGTCGAGATGTCGGTATCTGTCTCCCCGTTCCCGCCTTCTTGTGGTGCCCCGCCGTCCGAAGAGGATTCCTGCTGCGCAGGGGGGCCGGATTCAGTGTCACCGCTTGTAGACGGCGTACCACCTTCTCCCCCGTCCCAAGAAGACTCGTCCTGTGCAGGAGGACCGGAGTCAGCGTCTCCGCTGGCAGACGACGTACCACCTTCTCCCCCGTCCGAATAAGACTCGTCCTGTGCAGGAGAGCCGGATCCGGTGTCGCCGCTGGTTGACGACGTAATACCCTCTCCCCCGCCCGAAGAGGATTCTTCTTGCCGAGGCAGTGTGAAGCCGCTGGTAGATGACACATCACCTTCTTGTCCCCCTTCCGAAGAGGACTCCTGTGGAAGAGGACGTCGCCGCTGGTAGGCGACGACATGTCCAGTGGAGGAAGACCGCTGCTGACCGAGGACGTTTCTTCGCCGGGCGGTCCTTGCCCCACGATTACCGGGAGGTGTTGCAGGAGAAGGCCTCCCAATGCGATATTCTTGAGCCGCGCGAAGGCCATGTTGCCTTCGTCAAACCTGCTTCATGGGGGTACATGACACAATGAATGGGGGTACAGTGCTTGTTCAGATCTATATCTCATTTTCCCTCATCGAGGGGAACCCGCCATCTTTTTTTTGCAGCAGCAACCATGCACGTTAGAAATATTGAAATAGTTTTGAAAACAATCCCCCGAGGCTGTCGCGCCTGTTGGATTGCTTGCCGTGCTGCACCTTGTGCAAAGCGCTTCCTAAACGTCTTGATTTGAGGCCAATTCAAGCAGTAAATCGTGTTCCTGGCTTTAATCAGCTCAGAAAGGTTTGCGAACCCGATGATCGTGGCACAAGTCGTGGGCAGCACGGAAGAAGAAGAAGCGGTCATCTCCTCCATTGAAAGGCCTCTCAGGCTGCAAGGGAGGAATGTCAATGTCCACAGGACGGTTGAAGAGAAGTCGTCTGCTGTCAGGCACGAAAAAACACTTGCTGCTTCGGCCTCTACTCTGTAAAGACTATATTTAGGATGTGTAATGTGCATAGTATTCTTGTGATTTAAACACTCGGGCAATGCAGTTTTTTTTTTTCATCACGTTGAATCAGCGCGCTCACACACCGCACGTGTAGGGGCTTCAATCCGTGGTGACACAACAAAACGGTCCCCACCCCTGCGGTCCCTTATCAATCACCACCCCTCCTGCGGTGCTTCCCTGTAAAACATTTCGTGAGAAGAGGCCCCTAAACAAACAGAACTTGATGCATTGGACTTTTACGACGAGCAAGAGGGAGAGGGAGAGAGCCACAACGAGACGACCATTCAGCCAGCTAGCCAGCCAGGGCCAGCCCAAACGAAAATGAAAGGTGGAGAATTTTGATATGAACCAGTGCCCGAGGAGGCAAGGTCAGTGTTAGTTCGTTGGGATCGGCGAATAATCCCGCAATTTGCTAACGAAGGGCAGTACAGCAGTATGACGAACCGCACATCAATAGACTCTACTTCGGATTTTCGCATGCTTGTACATAACGTAGTGCAAGGGAGGAAGAAGAGTGGACAGTAGGCATGGGATGTGACTAATTAAGGCGGTGTGGCATGCATCCTCTCTCTCTTTCAACTCACTCACTCACTCACTCACTTACTTGGTCGTTTGCCTCACACTCGTTGGTCGCTTGGTTGGGTGGTTGGTGATTAGGCGAGTGATGGAGATTTGCGGGACAAGCATGCGCTTGCTAGACTAAACGAACCAGCAGCCAGCATAGTCCCGGTGGTCTAGTGGGTAGCCTCGCAGCCTGCCAAGGGCCAGGTCATGGGTTCGAGTCCCGACAGAAAGAGTGTTTTTCTCGCTAGTTAAATCCTGGTCTAGGATGAAAGCGTCGCGCTGTAAAGCTCGTTGTTAGTAAACTTGATCGACTTCATCAGTCTCGAGGGAAGGGATTGCTGTACCCTTCTCGCGATAAAAATATCTCAGGCAGAAACCGCAAGAGGGGATCCAACCCCCCCTCCTATGTGACCCCGGTTGGGTCGTCTAGCTGGTAGTAGTGGAGGATAGGGGCCAGAGGGGCAGACGACAGAGTCCAACGATGGGAGACAAAAAAAAAAAAAAACTGTCAAGAACAGGATCTGGGGAGTGAAGCGATGTATCTTGGCATGACGTTCTGAACTTATTCCTTGGCATGACGTCCCCTCGCGTGAAACGCACAGAAAACCGTTCTTTTCCCCGAACTCTTCCCTCTATCCTGACAGGAAATATGAATCAACGCATGCATGCGTGTGGGCGTACGAAGCACCACAGCATAGCTGCGGTTATTTTGGGGGGAGGACTGGCGGGTATGTATGCGTATGTTGTACAAGCTGGTCCGGCCAAGAAGCCCACATTGTGTCAGATGCTCATAACTTTGCCGCATTTACGATTCATCTCAAAGCAAGGACATTGCCGTGATCGGCAGACTCAGGCGCTGATGATGGAACTCTGTATCAGTTCATAGCGGAGGATTCTCCAATAGAAGCATATTTTGAGGCTTGAAACCGTCAAAAACCACAACAATAAAAAAAAATGCGGCGAAATTATTCAATTCGGAGCGCATCAAGGCACATCACAGCAGCACACCTCTCTCGACAGCGCGCTGTGTATGGCTACGGACGCGCAGAACACCCAGCGGTGGGAGAGTACCTCTGCCCCCGTGATAAATCATGACAAGAGTGCAGATCGTTGGCGAATCGAGCTGAACTATACCCCCAAGAAGAAGAAAACTGCGAAGAAGAGGTCTGCATGGTACNGGACATTGCCGTGATCGGCAGACTCAGGCGCTGATGATGGAACTCTGTATCAGTTCATAGCGGAGGATTCTCCAATAGAAGCATATTTTGAGGCTTGAAACCGTCAAAAACCACAACAATAAAAAAAAATGCGGCGAAATTATTCAATTCGGAGCGCATCAAGGCACATCACAGCAGCACACCTCTCTCGACAGCGCGCTGTGTATGGCTACGGACGCGCAGAACACCCAGCGGTGGGAGAGTACCTCTGCCCCCGTGATAAATCATGACAAGAGTGCAGATCGTTGGCGAATCGAGCTGAACTATACCCCCAAGAAGAAGAAAACTGCGAAGAAGAGGTCTGCATGGTACACCACGCGCGAGGAGGCTGAAGCATCAGCAAGGTGGTAAAGACTGAGTTGGGAGCAAGGCAACAACGGCAAGAAGATCAACCCAGGCACACAACCCGATGAACCCCGAAGAAACAGCTCCGGATCATCGCCGGCCGATGTCGAGCTTCCTCCAGGCAAGTTGAGCAATGAGTTGTACGAGTGGGTCTGGTATGCTGCTGTTCCGCGAACTGGCTCCGCCACTGCTGTGGTCAAGAAGTCATGACATGATACAACCGCTTCTGCTGCGCTCGTGGATCTAGGACTAGATGCTGCTACTGCTGTGTCAACCCCGCTGCTGCCTATATTCGTGCACGACTGCTGTACAACGTACACTGCTGCTCTACAAGTAGAGACGCAGCCGCCATAATAGCGCCATGATGTTTGCGTGAACAAAAAAACGGTCCGTGTTTGAAGGTTTTTAGCCCTGTCTGCTGCTGCCGAAGTGTGCTTCTACTGCTGCCTACCTATGCGTATGACTGCTGCACGATGCGCGCTGCTGCTGTACGTGTACAAGCAGCACAGTTATTGTACAAGGCGCTGCTCCGTATGCATGTTTTTACTCGTAATTGTACAACCACGGAATGCTTTCTTTGTAGAAATTGAACCCATTTTGTCCCGTGCCTGCTGCTGTTTGGAGGTGTACTTGCATTGCGTGCCAGTACATGAGCGCACGTGTACGTCGGCCGCACAGCATGCACCACTGCTGTACAAGTACGAGTACCACAGTCGTTGGCTCAAAAGCTGCTTCGTATGCGTGTATTGTAAAGATATAGTAGCTGTCGCTAAAACGAGCGACAGCTGATAGATGTAACTGTCGTCAGACGTGTGCGTCCGCGGGAGGTGGAAGAGACCCTTTCTTCTTCTTTTTCTCTTTGCAATTCACGTCATTGGTTACCCGCGACGGCGCTGAAGACGCCCATGTCCGTGTACTTGACCCTCGTACTCTGTGCTAACTCCCCAAGTCTAACCTCTTCCTGCAGCCTAGCCTTCATCGTCGGCGAATTTCCAAGGTTACCAATCCTGTCGAAACTCATGGGCTCTACCATGAGGTCCACAAGTCTCTTCGCCCTACTGAGACAGACGAAAGTAAGCCCCGTGCAGGCCTCCTTGGGCCCCAAGTCAATGACGGCCTTGGCTAAAGTCTGCCCCTGGGACTTGTGCATCGTAATTGCCCAGCAGAGCCTAAGGGGCAGCTGCGTCCTGACCTGCGTCCCCCCGTCCTGCCAGGTGGTGTCGACGGGAGAAATAGGGACACAACGTCTATACCTCTCCTGAGACGACCATTCCCCCCCCGAGTACCCTTCAAACTTGACGACAACGTAAAGGGGGAG